TTAACCAGGATGTACGGCTACCTCGTATCCACGTACGAGTCGGCATCTCTCCGCCGTTTCCGCAACGGACGTGTAGACAATATCAGGTCTGCGCACGACGCGGCGCGAACCTGGGCTTCCGCCATGCGCACCGCGGAGAGCTCGCCGCTCAACGAGGTGAGCAACGACTCACAGAAGAAGGTTTCCTTCAACCTGTACGGGGTAAGAGATAAGTCTCTGTCTGGATAGACTGGCGTAGTTGAGCTATTGTAGTTACTGCGTAACTTACTCAAAAACTACTGTGTTTTGAGACAAAAAGGGTAACAGTATAGTACCACAGCTTTATAGAGAGTGATCTGCACTTTTGAATTTGTTGTTTAGTCTCACGAAAACGACCGGCGGGAGAAATAATGATGACATCATCGGTTTATGCTAGGTATGTAAAGGCAGAACAGAGAAAAAAGGTAAGATAGTTGAATATAAATAGGAAATCACTATTAATTAGATTTGAATAATCATCGGCCCGTTCTATGTCTTAACACTCTCAATTCAGGCATTTTTGGCAAAATTTTACCTCCTGTCACAATCTATCAATAATACTGTCGACAACAACTACATGATTATTTAAAGTTTTATGAAAACTGGCAACCCTGTAAACGTCATTTTACTCCGTCTTTAAAAAAGACAGACTTTTAGATAACACCGAGCTTAATATAGGTTGGTCTGAAGCATTAATCGACATTAATCTCATTAAAAAAATCATGGTATATGTTAAATTTTGCTGACGACTTAAGACAACAGGCAGCAGAGTATAGGGGTATGAGGATATTATACTGCTCTTTCTGCTCCTGACAAAGCTATTGAACAATGCCTTGGATGCGGAAGGAAGGCAGAGCATTATTCTGAATCAAAGTCAAGGTCAAATTTCATAGGTAAAATTTTACACTTGAAGATGTTATTTTTTAAGCTGCTGCTCGTTCACTGTCCTGACTTCCCTGAGAAGACCGAGCAAGACACTATAGGGATTGCTTTTTCAAACAGACTTAAACACTATGGAATACATTTTGAATCACATTTATGTAGAATCTAGACTCATGTCGTCTTTATCAATTTTGTAATATGACTTTTCAATTAAAATATCTTTAATGTAAGTTTTAAACTTAGGAAATGACAATCTTAATATACGCTCCGGAATGTTATTGCAAAAACGTATACAAGAGTTCCTCATAAAATAATCATTTGCCTTAGTTAAACGAAATCGTGGTACCAATGTGTGAATGTGTAAATATCCCTCTACTTACAAATATCTAAATTTCACACAACATTTTTTTCCCCAGGAGCAAAGGAAACTGGAACTGTTCGACGAGGCGGCTCGAAAGCAGACGACGATCATGGAAGCCAACATTCTCGGCCGAGGAATCGACAACCATCTGCTCGGTCTGCGCGAGGCGGCCAGAGAGACCCTGGGAGAACTGCCGCCCATGTTCACCGATGACACTTATAAGAAGATGATTGAGTTCAAGCTTAGCACTAGCCAGGTATAATCTTCAATCGTTTAAAAGTACCTTTTCCGTTGCTTATCACTTATACGCACGCACGCCAACTCTCCCAGTTCCGAGCTGCCAGATCCAGTCGCTGCCTGCCACCTTTATAAGTCTTAATAAGACTGCTCCATCGGCTATCCGCCTTCCTGCAGACATGTTCGGCCCACAGCCATTTAAGCTTACCGATTTGACCTGAACCGAGATGTGTGTAAAATTATTCTTTTACCTGTAAAACAATAATACCACAAATTTGTTTTCTTTTTCATCAACCCTTAGACGTAGCGTAGGGGTAGTGGTTTCTTCTAAGAAAAGGGTTTGGCTCTGTTTTGGCCATAGTTCATAGGGACTTCCACGTCTTCGAAGAGTCATCAGGTTGTTTTATTTCATCGTAAAAGCAAGGAAAGTAACTAAAAAGCACATAGCTTGAAAAGTTTACGCTTGGTAAAATTCTGCGTCTATGCTAGAGATGCCGCGATGTTGGTTATTACTACATCTGCAGATGCGGATGCGAATGTCTTCACCTTTAAATCTGCAGATGCGGATGTGTGAAAAGAATAGGTTTATTTTCAGGATATTTATTATGAAAAAAAATACTTGAGCCACACTTGCCGATTAAGTTTGGTGATCATTGCATTATCATTAATTAAAAAATATATATACTTTTACAAAATTCTGTTGGATGCTTGAAAATGATACTTGAAGGTGGCGACATCGTCTATACTTAAATTTACTTACGAAAATCAGTTTGCGTCAACGTAAATGCAATAGTTCGACTCATCCGAAGAACAAAGTCCGATGTGATTGATTATACAGCGAAAAGAGGTTAAAACATAATCTCGTTATTCAAAATGCCTGTATAAAGGTGTTTTCAGATTTTTTTATGTATTTATTATTTCGTTTTGGAAATATATAACAACAGTCGATCTTGACTGTGGATATCTGCAGTCAAGAACAACGAACGAAATGTATGTACAATGTCCCGAGAATAAGCAGCATTTTGCAAATAGGTCTTTGTTCTACGGATGAGTCGAGTTATTTATTTGTATACAAAACAAACAGGTCGTTGCGTGCACCACGCGTTGCCCAATTCTCGTTCCCTGATGGGCTAATTAGCACTAGTACTTAGCGAGGCCGTTTGTCGTGACTGCATAGATTGATGCGGATGTCGGATGCGGACGCAGATATTTAAAAATATGCGGATGATCCGCAGTTGCAGTTGCAGACAGTTGTCTGCAGCATCCCTACTATGCACATTCCCTCCTAATATCTTATATAATGACAAAATTTCCATCAGGTGGCAACAACAACCGAAGGCACCTTCATGGGTTACGGCGCCGTGGTCCACGACGGCTACGGCTGCAGCTACAACCCCAAAAAGGAAAGTATCATATTCTGCATCTCCTCTTTCACCTCCTCGAGCGTAACCAACACTGAAGCCTTCAGGCAGTCCCTGGAAGAAGCATTGGACTCCATGAAGCTCATGTTTCAGAACCGAAAGACAGAAGGTTAAGGATTTGAAAAAAGTACGTTATCGCTTTAGTAAGTTTATTATACTGCGAAATGGAGCTTATATTATAATGCCATTTCAAAACTCGTAGCTCCTTTTTATGTTTGGACTCAGTGGTTAGTAGCCAATTTCGTCGCGATCACAATATAATATGATAATGTGAAGGTATGCTAGAAAAAAAGAGATAATAGTTGATATTAGACGTGAAATTGTGTGTAGTAGTGTAGTACGACTACATATAAACAAGAATATTGAAACGTAAAATGCTTCTAGTTCAATGCATTTCTATTGAAAGAAATTCAAATGATTTCAAACAAAATGTACCTTTTGGCGAACTACATAAATATAATGGCCAGTACGCCGGATAATTCTTAAAATTGTACTTGTATTAACGATCAATGTCATTCGTCGTATAATATATAAAATATTTATATTATAAGGTAATTATCTAAAAATATAAGAAAAAAAGTTATTTGAAATAAACAGAAAAGTTTCTGTTAATTGGTATATATAGAATAAAATTCGAAATTATAAAATTAAATTTATTTGCCAATTTGAAATAAAATGTTTAATACGACATTATAATGTCGCAAATATTTCGTGTGATACGCACATTATTGATAAAATAAGAAAATACATACATATCAATTATAATTAAATGAAAGCTTATTAGAACTATTTTAAAAAAGTAGGAAATTTATACATTAATTTGTAGGACAAATTAATTATAATAAATTATAGCATTATAACAATGAAAACATTATGACATATCAAAATGCAACGTGACAATTTTATATATAAGCTTTTTTTTAGAAAAATAACATATCAAGCATCCTAAGAAGTAATTTACAATTGATATAAATTATATAAAAAAAAATGTAAAATTTAGAAATAATTACGCTTTCTAGATAAATTATAGAATTATACCAATTATTTTTGTCCTAGTTAATTATATAATTATATCAATTATTTTTGTCTTAGCAAATTATAGATTTATATATAACAATTTAAAATTGTGAATCGTTGCCGTGTTTTCTAAGTCTTATGCGGGTTAGTTGGCGAACAACAATGTTCAATTTACCTTATCGGTGGTAGATGCTAAATGTAATTCATATTTTCACACGTGCCGCCTCACATTCGTGTTATTTGTTTATATTATCTCATTAGGATTGGTCTCGTAACAGTGCCGTAATCAGGCGTAACTACAGCTTTATTGCCTTTAATAAAATAGAAAATTGCAGTTACAAACTTTAAATTGCACCATGTCAACAAGAACGAGATAAAAATTATATATTACAACAGTTTTCAATTTTTACTACAACAGTGTGCATAATATTCGTATTTTTGCAATAATATATTTTTTCGAATTTTTCTACGGCATTGTTACGTCTTCTATCAAACTCTATTCTACCTAGTCAAATGGTCTCGATGATTTTTAGCTTTGGAGTTTTATTATGGGAAATTATTCAATTATATCAATTTATAGAGATTATGATTATTATATTTACACTTTATAACAACTGTTACTCTATTTATACATTTGTTGTTCCTATATTATACCCTATTATTATACTTGTTTAACAAATTTTATGGCGTAGAATAAATGTTAGTGATTATAAGTACTGTGTGGTATTTAGCATGAGTTCTAGATATTTCAACATCTATCTACAGAAATCGGTTTAGACATGTGTAATTAAAAACACTCTCTTACGTACTTAGTGGAAATTTTTTCAATGTTATATAGGCAACCTTTTATATATAAAAAAAGCCTAGTGTAAAAATATTTCTCCATCGAATCCTGTGGTGGTACGACCTATGACGTTAAATTCTAAATTAATCTTTCTGTCTAATGGTTAAGAAATATATCGCGATAAAACCTTATACAAAAGCCTTGTTAAAGGTAGACATAACGGATAGCAGGAAAGAAAAATTTTATAGGATAAACATGCGAGGATAAACCTGTGAGGCGGGCTTATTAAATCGATCTTAGCAAAGTTATCAGGAACTCATGCTGAAATCTATACAATTTACTTTCAAAATAGAACTGTAAACTATGTTGCATCTATGTTGATAGTCTAACAAGACAAATGTCCTAGAACATCAGATATTATTATCATATTGTAGACTTTATACGGTAAGTAATTGGAGTCAATGCTGTGGTGATATCATAAATATTTAGATTTGTATTTTACATTCACTTGGAACTTTCTGAACCTTTATTATGCGACAAATTTGCAAATTCCTGCTTGTGTAATAATGTGTTTAGATGAATTTGGTTTTTAAATTTGTTACATAATAGAGTGTTTTCGGAAGTTTGCGTGTGTAGTGTAAGTGAATGATCTCAATATTATTTAGTAATGTAATTGTTTGACAAGTTTACATAGAATATTGGAATTTGGATAAAACTTTTCTACGAATTTAGATTGACTTGCTAATAGAGAAAGGTTTAATAGTGAGGCAAAAAAAGTGGTAAAACCTTTCATGTTACCGGGTAAACGAAAGATAATTGTGAAGTGAAGTACAAGAAGTGGGATTTTAACTTGTTAAAGTCAAATATAATTCTAAAAAGGTAATCGAATTTACGTCCAAACATGATATAATTGACTGCTATTACTTGTCAATGAATTTCATGACGAGAGCATCACCTTGTCCGCAGCATCAGGACATAGTTTTCAAATGAGTGCCTCTTAAGCAGACTTATTACATTCGAACACGATACAACATCAAAAAATGACTAAAACTAAAGGAGTTGCTTACTATGTTACAAAGATACAGGTGAAGCTAAGCAGAAAGAAACAACGACAGTAAACGGTGGACCGAATCAATGTAAAGCAACATATTGCAAAACAATAAAAGTAACTGTGGTATGTAATTGGATGTTTAATGAATATTCTGTGTTAACTAGTCATAACTTAGTAATAAAGCAACTTATACATATCAGAATGTCAACTATCATATGTGACATGACCAAGAATATCGTGGACATATCAAAAATTTAATGTAAGGTAGTTTTTAAGATCTCAACATATCAAAATATATTTATTTTAAAATAAGAATATAGCGAACACAATATATGTATGTCGCTTCTAATATATTAAAATGTAGATTGATTTTAAGATTTTACAGATTTCATTCATTGTTTATATTGTTTTGCAAGAATGAGGCCCGAATTAATAAAACCATTTCGGGTGCAAGATTATTAATATTAAGGACTCAAGTCAACTAAGACAAAGATGTTAACAAAAATTACTTAAGTGTCTTGATCTTTTGAGACGGAATAATTTAAGCTTATTACTAAAGTTTCCAAGGACTCAAGCTACGACTCGAGATCATTATTAAGCCCAAATCAATCAAGTGTCATTACATACACTTGTCCTTTAATATACGAGAGCTTAAGATACATCATGCGATTTAAATGGTATTTAGCCGGTGAACACTTTATAACCGATTAACTGCATCCGTGGCCGAACGGTTACCATGCCGGACTGCCACGCAGAGGTCCCAGGTTCGATTCCCGGGCCGGGAGAAATATTTGTATGGCCCACATTTATTTGTCTCGTGAGTTTGGGTGTAATTTGTAATTGTCTATTTGTGTGTCCATGGCACCCGCGACACAGCGTTTCCCTAGTGCGGGGCTATGTCGAGTGTGTGCGTTAATATTATTATTATATTTAGGAACTATTTATTAATACACCAAATGAACAACTGTCAGTTGTCCGGTGAATACATTAAACATTATTTGTAATGTCTGTCACAATTTCTTCCATTGCAATTAAGCCCTGGTTCAGACTACTTTCCAGCTGCAGTTCCACTGTTTTACGTCTGCTTGGTTGTCGGCTTCCAATTCATTTATCATCGGTCAGATGCCTTCCAGATAGGCTTATATCGTTGGACAAATAACTGTTGTTTGTTTAAAAATGGGTAATAATTATTATTTCTTGTGTTTTTTTATAGATGCTGTAGTGTTGGGTAATGAGCAGAGATTGGAACAGGCAGAGTATTATGTGATCGTAGTAATACATATTGAGTAGTTAAAACCACGATTAAAAATGAAAAGCAAAAAATAAAAACAAAATAGTTTACTTACGATTAAACACAAAACTTTTCTTCTAAATACACTACAGTAGTAAAGTAATAGTACACACATACACACACGTAATCACGACTGTCTCCCACCGCGGTAGGCAGACACCTTGGACCTCCTTCAGCTACGCTCTTGACAAACCTTCACCTCCTTTACTCCCAAAGTTACGTTACACATGAAAAATATAGAACAAAATATAACGATTCAGGCACTCCATGTGTATTATCCACTTTGTTGAAGTTGCCAGGTAGATTGCTCCGCCTGTTCTCAGTGGCGGATTTACAGCCTTGGCCACCCGAGGCCCCGTGCCATGTAGTCAGTACCAGCCGCCCCTTTCTCAGCACTCATGTACCTACTGGTACATGTATCTATATTTTATAAATAAAATATACAAAAGTGATTTAAGAAGATTATTGTTTTACGATGCGGTGCAGTGCGGCCCGCCAGAATGTGCGTGAGCGTTCGGAATATTTCCGTACTTTGAGTTATTTCTTATTGCCCCTAAAATCTGGCCGCCCTAAGTTCGGGCCTTGGCCTAGGGTGGCCTTAGGGCAAATCCGCCACTGCCTGTTCCGATTTCTGGTGATAAGTGATACCAAAAAGGAATTAATACAATATAACATATTACATAGCCTATATACCATACATACCTTCATTTTAATGAAGGTGACTATGAGCCAGACCGTTCCTTACAAAAGTCATATGGACAAAGTTATATTATAAACCATTATAGTAGATGTTGTTGTAGCTGTATTTCTAAATAGCAACAATTATTAGTCATTTGTAAGTATTATAACCTTTCACTCCACTTTTATTCAAAATTATATTTAAAAAGAGTAGATTATTTAAAAGATATACCGCTAGAATCCTTACGGATTTTAAGTTTTACACGTACCCTCTAGGGTAACGACACGAGTCCAAAAATTTTAATTACATTTATATTTAAGGATTCAATCAATGTTAGAAATTTATAATATTAATTATATTATAGAAAATTGGAATTTCACGCCAAGCTTATTTAATCATTTGAAACAGAGCTGTAAAATTCCTAAGTGGGTTTTTTGGACAGAAAGGCTAATTTTAAATTCGCCTCTATAAAAGTTGATGGTCACTCTCTCGTGGTGTGGAGACTGCTCTACGGACTGACTTTGTTCATGTTTTGTCATGCACGCGCTTGAATATTTGTGCATGTGTGCTGCGTGGGGGAGAAATGGTTTCCCTTGTGCACCCTGACAAATTATTAAATAATCTTGGCAGAGCTTGTTAAAT